GGTTGACACTGTAAGAGGGCCAGATAGTATCATTTCTCGGACACTCAAGTTGGAGGCCGATGTGGCTCCTCGGCAGTCCTATGATGATGACGATGATGATGAGATTGACATTCCAGTCGAAGTGGCCGGCACCGAAATCAGATGATTCTCCTGAGGTGTGGTAGGACCACCAGCAGGTGTCTATAAACTTGATGATAGCATTCTGTTTTGTATTTTATAGCAACTCTTTTCTGGTCTGAGAATGTACGGTAAGTTTCTTAGCACATTGTCCGTTTCCTTTAGTACCGGAGTACTGCGTTGGAACTTGCCAACTCGTCCCAGTAGTGTTTTTTTGTTTCCCGTCATGTCCAACACCCAAGATGCTTGCTCGCCCCTCAACCAGGACCTCAGGTTGCCCGAAGTGCACCATCTGAGCCCCCGAGCCGCGGACTCGCCCACCCTGCAGGGGTCTGCGGACTGGCAGAGCCCCACCTCAGAGTGGAAGTCCGCCAGCTTGTCTGATGATGAGGTCGAGCATACAAGCAGAAGCGATGAAGGCAACTCCCCCATGAACGGCAACATTAGTGCTCGCAGTACTGGCGATCTCAACGGTACGCGACTTGCGATTAGATCTCATCTCGATGGCCCCTGCAGTTACCGTCACCACTTATGAATATAACAAGCTCTTCCGATCAGCATCTATGGATCAGTAATACCTCCTCTATGTAGAGTCCCTATTGCTGCCTCAATAGGGGAGTCAATTGGTCAGCAGCAGTGGGCGAGCCAGATACTAGAAGGTCTGGCATGCACAGGTATACCACATTCTCAGTTCGGGTAAGGGGCATCTCGCGTTAACCCCTATCATGATAGTTTTAGATAACCGATTCCTCTGGCCGAGTTACCTCCGCGACCCGTAAGAGGTTCACCGACTTCACTGTGTTGAGGCGTGAGCTCGTACGTGTCGTTGATGGTGCCGGGTCTACATATGCATCAGGTTAAAGCGTATCCTGGGGCGTTCGTGCCTCCCCTGACCTGTAAAAGCCAGATCAAGGTGATGATGAAGACGGCTCCCACGGCGATGATGCAACACATGAAACCAGTCGATAATGTGACTGAGATCAGGCGCCAAGCTCTCGAAGAGTTCCTCAGCAGGTCAGCGAGGCGAGCTAGGGCTCTTCCAACCGATGCTGTCATAGGTGTTGCTCCCGCCCTTTCATCATGTACTCCCCGATGATGGCAGCGTTCTTGGCTACTCCTGAGAGTACCTATGATGCTTTGAAAAGAGTATGGCGGCCATCACGAGGTAAAGCATGCAGTTGCGTTCTTAGGATTTCTCGAACCGTCCACCGGAGGAAGTTCTGGATGAATATAAGATAGCGTTCGCGGCGAAGTCAATCCCAACGTGAGCTGTTATAGACGTTATAGCTCCTCCTCAATACGTCATTCAGATTCAATAGACGTCAGGTGGCGTCGAACGGTCCTAACGATGAGGTTGAGAGGCTCGCCAAAGACGACTCGAGTGATGGCGAGTCCCATGAGAACTCAGTTGAAGGCGCGAATGAGTAGGTCTGTCGTCTCATCATATGGACTGTATTTGCTCGCTACGTTCTTTAGTGCGGCTTCCGATAGCGCTGTGAATGTCACGGAGATGGTAGCAACGTCCAAGACCTATCTCAGCGACCATTGTAAAGTTCTGAATCAGCTGCTCACGATGCTCCGAACAGCGGCTTCTAATTACAAGACTGGCAACGCTGCCTTGAGCACAATTCATTACAAATTTTCTGATTGCAAGACCATTGATGAGCAGGGCTCAGGCCAAGCTCTGGCCCTTGCACAGGGTCTGCCTGGTTCTCCGCAGAGGCTTGATTTGTCCGACGCTTTTTTTGAAGTCAAAAACATCATCAGCGCCCCAGCTGATGCCGCACATTTCGACTTGTTGGCCTCAGTGCTCAGTCGAGAGCTTACGGACTGTGCGGCTATGAAGGCCTCACTCGAGAAGGTTGTCGAGCTCGGTAAGCATCGAGACAAGGCCATCGCTAAGCTGCGGTCGGCTCGGAAACACGGTGGCCCTGGTGGTATAGGCGGCATCATTCGAGGCACTACTAGAGACCAGTTGAAGCGTGCCGAGACCAATCGGGTTTTATACGCTGATTTTTATTGGACTGCTGGCTATAATGCCGTCATGAATGAGGTACCGGTGTTTATGGAAGGTCGCGCCCGGGTCTTCAACGAGGTGGCTAGAGAGTTCGTCTCACGTTCGGAAGCGACAAACAAGAGCCTTTCTATGACCTGGGCCAGCAAGGTTAAGAAGACCACTCTGTAGATGATATTTTGGGGATCGTGGTTCTGATACTCCGTGACCATTATTTCTATGGATCATAGTCCGTTCTTGTCTCGTGTTGTCAATCATCAAAAGGTAATTCTGAATTCACTTCGCCTGACCATGGTCGCTCACGAATCTCGAGCACCACCACTGGCTGATGACGATGCGATTCAGAGGCTTTACAACTGGGTGGGGTCGTCTGTGTCTGTTCCTGTTGCTGGTATTGAAGTTTTCATAGGTGGATGATATACCACTGTCCCGGCCGAAGCGTAACATATCGCGAGACTTTGCAGATGGTGTGATGATGGCAGAGACTGTTGCTCACTATGTAGGGTCGTATCCTATGCAGATTGAAAATGATGAGCGATCAGATACCGAAGATAGTTGAGCTCCATAACTACTCTCAAGCCAATGCACTCACACAGAAGATGTACAATTGGAACACGTTGAATCAGAAAGTAGCAACTCGTTAGTTCCTAAGTTCTCCACCTTGTAAGACGGCAGGTCTTCCGCAGAATGGGATTCCTATTACATCCCGATGATGTGGAAGATTGCGCAAGAGTGAGCTTGATACTCCCTGCACGATGCAGTTCACACCACACTTCAGGCTATTCCCGGTTCGATCGAGAGAGTGCTAGCCCTGGTTCGCCCACGACTGGTGAGCTAGCTGCGGGCAATTGCCGCTATGCAAATCTCGTGCTCTAGATCGAAGCTTCGAGGGATGGAGGACAAGGCCGTCAATTTCGCAGTACCAGCGAGCAGAGGACCCCGAGGGCCAGGTCGGAGAACTCTTCGAGTGGCGCGCGAGCTAATTCAAAGCCAGACATAAGTCCGAAGGTGATCCATCTCGACGACCAGTCTGCTAAAATGGCCATAGTCAGGTGAAGAGCGAACGAACACGAGACAACATGCCTGATCGGGAGAAGGACGCTATCATGGCTGAGAAGGATAGGACGATTAGCGAGCTCAGGGAATGCGTTGAATTGTTGACTAGGAAAATATCCAAGTTGGAGCAATTGGTAAGAAATTGAAGAAACTGTATACAACGACATCAGTAACGCTGTCAGGTTAGAATTAAAGACCAGAAGATTGTAACCCTGCAAGAGCGTCTAGCTGCAGCGCCTGGATCGTTTGCATTGCATGCTTCCTCGTAACTAGATACATTCGTATCCGAAATGCAGGCGATTCTGGCAGTGTTGCGTTAGTTCGGCTCCTTTCGGGATATGACGATGGTTGATCAACTAAATAGCCATTTATAATACCACTCCCCGGTGAAAGTTATATGCTGATGATGGTCATCCATCATCCAGCTATCGCCGGTATCCTGTCACCCATTGAGTCAGTTTTGAAGGATTGGAATGCATCATCGCCGATAATTTTGTCGGATAATAATATAGCGCCAGTCACCGAGCTGTCGCCGTCGACGACGGGAATATTCCCTAGTAGAGCGTCCAAGGAAGTAACTCCGTCGAGGATGAATCCATGAAACAGAGTATCAGTTGGTAGCCTTTGCCACCATCAACTGCAGTCAGGGATCGAAGTTGTCGCAAATTCCACGCTCGTGCCGATATCGATCGTGGTGTGCATACTATGCTCAGCGTACGCAGGAGGGGACCCCTCCGCATGGCGGCACCTGTATAGAATGTCGCAACCGGTTATCAGTTCACCGAAAAGTTTGGTTTTACTGAACAAGGCTGAAATGGATGTTTTACAAGAAGAGGGTTAAGTGTGAGGCTCAAATACCCAATGGCAAGAGAGCATGAGTGCTGCGATGCGGTATAGTTTAACATGTTCATACTGCAATTGAACTCACTACTATCTACACAACAGTTTGTCTGCTCTTTGCAATGACGCTAAGTTAGCCACGAAATGGACGTTAGAACGTTAGCCTGGCTAACGTTGTTCGCCTGCAATGGTTTTACTCACGAGTCTTGGTATGAATTAAATCTGCATCATCCAACTCTTCATAAAACTTCAGGCATTTCGGATTAGCTCGGATGGCCTAAAGAACGACACTCACGCGGAGGCGTAAAGTGAGATACCCACCATTTTGAAATTGCGACTAGCGGAAGTGATACTGACAGACTCCAAGGACCTGCACCGAGAGAGCGCCACGTAGGCCTGACCATATCTACCAGGGACATGCAAGGTCGACACAGGATGGTGCGAGCCGTATTACTCGAAAATGGTATCAAGCTTGATGACGGCGCAGTCCAAGGTCATACCTTGACTCTTATGGATACTTATAGCCCAGGCAAGCTGCAGAGGGATTTGTCGTCGCCGCCCAAGCTCGACTGCTTGTCCACCAGTAGAGGCTGTGTTATAAAAGACCCACTCATCTAATGGGATAGTTATCTGAAACCGGAGGACCAAGCTGAACATTATCCCACACGGAGTAGCAAAGAACCTCCTCCTCCCCAGTGGTGATAAACTTGACGATCGGCAGGCAGGGGGTCTTGGTGAACCTTTCGAGAGATCACAGTACAGTTGACCAGTAAGGGTACTCACCGAACGATGATGCCACGACTTCCGTTCACTAGCCGCTTCTGAGGGGAGAAGGTCTTCGTCAACATAACTTGAGCTCCGACTTTAAGCACCACCTTGATGGATATGATACACGGCTGAGGAGGCGGGCACAACTATACCTTGGCACGGGCTGAACACATGACGTCTAAGTTCAGACTGGTAGAGTCATAAACTGTGTCCATAGCTGTAAAGGTAATCGGCGGTGTGGATAATCGTGCCAACTCTCGCTCATTGATTGCATCCACTTCTCTCCTCGTCGGCAGTAGCTGTGATGCCACCACGCCCCCTGTGAGCACTTTGTGCCTCCGTTGTGCAACCAGGGAGAGGATATCTTGGGTCTCTTGGGAACATATACCTCGACGGATCTGATTCAGCATCTGAAAATGCGGACCTTCATTGTAGGCCTCAAGGCGTTTCCACTTCACCGTCGTGAATGTTGCATCTCCCTCCTGTCTCTTGACCTCCCTCAAAAGCATCGTCTTATGAATGCACTTCCTCCAGGAGGCGGCCTAGCATTACCGAGTTTGGACTCAAGGTAGTCTAGTTGGCTCACTTCAAAACAGAATGAGGGTTCCTCCTTTTTCCCATTGGGCATGGTCTGACTGACAGGAGGTAACTGCCAAGGGCAGTCCTCGGCTATTCAGCAACGACCGGGACCGCCTCACCTGCAGAAAGTCTCCAGTGAGCACCAGCTGTATCCCTCCGAAAGGCCTATTGTCTTGGCGCACCTACTGAGGAACTCTAGAGCACAAACCATATTCAAGGTCACCAGCCGAGCGATTTGCTCCAGCTTGTCGAAGAGTCTCCCCTCAAGCATGGAGATCTCGTCAATGATAAGAGTCTTCACCCGTTTCCACCGACCGAGACTGAGAAAGTGGGTGGACCACGAGCATAGGGAGCGCCGCCCTACAGCTCAGGTGACCGCTTGATCTTCTGAGCCAGGGCGGGTGCATCTCGCGCGCCGGAACCAATACCGGCAAAACTGTGTATCTGTATCGTGAGTATAAACAGCCGACCAGCACAGGTCGACTACGGTCTGGCCGCCCAGATGGGAGGCAGCGAGCCCTGTGGAGGATGTTACTGCTGTATAATCGGGCTTAAGGAGGCGAATGAGACGATGGAGGACCTACAGTGTGGTACTCACGCTGATGATGAAGCCCATTGATTTACGAATGACTTGCCGGTACCAGCACCTCCAGTGAAGAAAACGCTCTTGCCACCCAGGACCGCCTCGACGACCTGATTATCATACTCGCATTATCATTGTTCGGAGGAGGTTACCTTTTTCTGCTCGGAAGTCATTTTTGGTCCCGCCATGGTAGCCGGAGATTTCCTGCTGGACCCTGGTGGGATAGGCGGCCGGCCTGGAGTCATCGGCAGACCACCTGAAACTAACCCAGGACCGAGCTGTCGTACCGGAGGGCCCAACCTCTCCGGAGTGGCCCCTTCAACTTGGGTGCCGTCGGAGGTGACCATCGTGATGGGGATATCCTATGGGGTGAGGCGAAAGTATTGAGACGTTTCCGATCGGTCGGATTGGGAGTTGGGCACGCCGCGGCAGTTGGTCGCTGTAGACTGGCATAGGCTGGTGCTGCCTGTAGGAAGGCATAGTGGACGAGTAGGAGCCTTTATATACGCACCCGACTGAGCGCACGCTTGACACATGACTTCTGGCTCTCCTGTATTGCCGCAAAGACACTCCTCGCTACCTCGGGTTCGCTGCGGGAGCTCATCATAACAGTTATACCGGTCTTGACGAAACGTACAGAAAGTAGACCGACACGGACCTGACTGAGGATCCCCCCAGGAGGGAACGGGCAGATCCATCGACAGCAGTAACAACTACATGGTACCTGTGATGCAGTGTGAAGGAGGCGAGGAGGAAATCTCGGTTCTTGTCCCGGAGTTTTTTATCCCCCGACACGCGGAGTATCTGCCGAACCACTGGACCATATTCGATGCGGGCAGAGGAGACCTTCTCAGCCACAAGTATGGCGACTGAGGCATCCGAGAACTTCTCCACTTTAGGAGGGCCACGGCCAGACTGCTGGCGCTCTATGGTAACAGCCATTGGGCCGCCTGAGTACGACCCGTGAGATGATTCATAGCCGAAGTACTCACCACGGGTGAGTGAGCGATGATGACCTCCCTCGCCATGAGGCATGGAGAAAAGGATACTGGTCACAGCGCCCTCTAGGGCCGCCAACAGGACCCTACACATGCTCAGTCGAGAACCACGCACTGCCTCTGACAACACAACATAGAGAGAATGAAAATGCCCTCCGAGAGAAGGAGGTGTATCATCATATGTTCATCATATTCTCATCATATTCTATCATATGTGTGTAGTAGGTGAGCCTCCTAATCGTCGTAGTTACTCTCACGCGACTGCAAGGTCTGGACCAGGGTAACGACCAGATCAGTCGTACTCACAAGCCCTGTTTTTGTGGTTTGCAGCCGCTGAATTCAAATCGACCACCGGCCGAGTTCACTGGTAATGCTGCCGAATTTACTACTACTATGTAACGCAACCATGAGGCTGGTGGTGATTACGACTGGTAAGACACACATGACAAACAAGTAGAGCATTCAAGAGAACCTCATGCAACCCCTTTGATGTCCCTCGCCGTTGAGCGCTCACTACTGGCCCCACCATCACTGTCCTTGATAGTCTCCAAAAGGCTCTTCTCGCCTCCAGTAAGGCCAGCCGCTGGCCTCTCTCGGCGCCGCGGTCTGGTCCGAGGTCCCGAGAACGGAGGAATGCCACCGCCATGCAGACCGACCACTCCGCGGTCCCCAGCACTCAGTCCTCTCCTACTAGGGAGTCGCGGCCGACCAGCAACAGGTGATTCTTGGGCAAACACTCCGATGCCGCTACCAGGACGAGTGCTGGCCCGGCTCGCTATTCCCAGGGCACCAGGAGGTGGTCTATGGTTGGGAGCTAAGACCATGTACGGCTGGTCTTGCGATGGTACGCCCATGATGGCATGACCTATGTTGCGGAATACGCTAGGATGACACTTTGGCCCCGCTGTACTGTGGTAGAGCAGCAACAGCCATACGG